GAGGGATATCGACAGAAGTAAGCATTACTTAAAAGATAAAGTAACAGTGTTTCGTTCTATGTTAAGTTCCCCGAAATGTAATTCCTAGCGATTGCCATTTTTATCTGACTCATGGGGTTTATAGACGTATACAGTATCTCGATTTGACTACAAACTCTGTTGAAGATATTCATATTCGCTATAGCAATAGAAAACTGTCACCTCAATTATTTTTGAATTTCGACAATCAATGAATGAAAAATATTTCATTAGCACTTTAGAATGTTACCATGGATATAGTCTTCGCACAAATAATATCTACTAAGGTAACTCTTCTTTCAAACTATTCTGAGGTTCTTCGTTAATCCTAAGTAGGCTTTCACGACCGTCTGAAGCTACCTGTTCAAAGATAACTTCCAAATATTTGGTCTTTTATCAAACGTCTCCAAGGTGAAGAAACAAAAATTGGTTTTAAGCTATTATAAAATAATGCTCGTGCTCAAGGCTGCTCAAAAAGTGCAACGACAACTGCAATATAACAACGTATTAATACTTTCAACGAACTCTATTTAGTATTGACATTGACCTTAACGAATTACTAGATGGTTTACCGTTAATTGTATCGAAACAAAACAAATAAACTTTAATAAATCACGTACATCGTTATTGTAACGTTTCGTTTTTTTGTTATTTTTTTCTATTGCCTATAATATTATATACAAAGGCGGCAAAAATTATCCGTACAATTTCATTTTTGCTCAAAAATAGTCAAAATATAGACTCTCTAAGATTTGATCGGTATCAAAACAATCATCGCATTGTCTAGTGTTTACACTATAAAAATCAGCGCTTTTTGGACGCAAAAATTATCCGCACAACTATAATTAGGATGATATTTTTCGTTCTTTTTGATTAAAAAAGATAATTATGAATTCCATAGATACAAGAAAAAGTGAGTAACACATTGGTGTGGGTGCAGTTGTACGGAAACTGGAAAATAACACCACACCCACACGCCCTCTCCACACCCGCATACCCACACCTCTGCAGCTCATTTTTTAAAATGAATTATCGGTTTCTAGGGTGTAGGTGGATATTGATTTCGCTCACACCCGCACTCACACTCACACCCATACCACACCCACAAACAATGTATCGAGATCGTGGATTTTGAATATATCAATAGATGAAGCAAGTGTTTTTGAAAAACGAGAATTTTCATCAGGTCCACCGTTGACGATAATAATAACAATAGATTTGACTTCATTCGAAGAATCAAGTGAAGCCTTTTAAAATGCTTGTAACTTCACTAAGTGATGAAAATCATTGCGACGATTAGCTGGTATGCTGTTATCATGTTCAGTTGAGCGAATAGCAATATATGTTGAACCTGAATAACCAACATCTCCAGCACTGTTACTCAATCATACATGCAGCATATACACAAAAAAAAAGATAAAATAGTTTGCTAAATATATCCAAAAAGAAATGTTTTTTTAAGCTACTTTGAAGTCAATTAATGACAAGGTGCTAAAACAAAATGATGATCAGGTAGTTTAATAACATAATCAAGGTGTATCAATAAAGATGCCTGTTTTTTAGCAGTTGGTAAACCTATAGGCACTTTACATTTATCATCTCGTGAAAGAAGAAAAAAACAATCATGTCGGAAAAGCGAAGCTAACATTCTCAAGTGTCAGAACGCTTTTCAGTCGGAGTTTCGCGCATTTTGTAGTCCTTAGTGAACTGTGTCTACCATGAAAAAAGTTTGGGTTTCTGGCACATTCTTACCGAGATATTGAATTTTCAGCAAACTTTTTTCTATAGTGTTCCAGTTTTGCAGCAAAGCTATATTCTTGAATTTTGATCTGAAATTTCGTGTACACAAAGATCTTAGCTAGACTAGCTTCTGTAAAAAATTCAGAACTTTTCGACAGAGCCTCTCCGAGATAAGAAGCTTTCAAAAAATGTATGCTATATATTATTTACGAAAAAGGATCTGAATCTTGATAGTTCCATGTCTCGAAGAGACTTTATCCAAAAGTTTTGAAACTTTGTATGCAAGCTAGCCTAGCTGAGGCCTTTATGTATGCGCAGTTTCAGGACAAAATTCAAAAATATAGCTTTGCTGCAAAACTGGGACACTATAGAGAAAATTTACTAAAAACTCAATATCTCTGCAAGAATATGCCAGAAACTCAAACTTTGTTTTATGATAGACATAGTTCACTAAGGACTACAAGATGTGCGAAATCCCAACTGAAAAGCGTTCTGACACCTGGGAATGTTTCTTTGTAAGTCTTTTGCAAAACGAATAGTTGCAGCAGCAAACTGACCATCTCTTCGTGCTTCTTGTGAAGATCATTTTGTGCCTTTTGGAGCCGCACATTTACCGTACGAACATGTTTTGTTTTTCATTCAAGTGAGAGTGCACGACGAGGCAAAAGACTAAAATTCACATACAAAACAAAATGAACCATTTTATTATAATAATTACCAATAATATAGAGTAGTTCTTTTAATATCATAACCTTGCATTTTCAATGTTTCACGAAGATCATCAAGAGTTAAACATGATCGAACAGTTACAGTTCTTCGTCGATCATCACTAGCACCACCAATAGTAGCAATTTCTTCAACTGTAGAGAGCAAATCTGGACATGCATCATCCACTGGAGGACGTCCACTATCTTGTCGAAAGATTTTTTGTAAAACATGACCAGTATCAGGATGAAATTGTGTAAATGCTCGTAATTTATGTTTTTGTTTAACACGCAAATGTTTCTGAGTATTACCATGATTTTGTTTTCTTCTGTTGAAGCAAAACGTTCAACTGTTTCTCGTTTTCAGTTGTTAATAAATCTATTTATTTTAGCTGTAGAAGTGATGTAATACGTTCATTAATCAGAGTTAATTCATTTAATATTTTTTCTTGAACAACATCACGTAAACGATTTTGCATCACCTTTTCTTGTTCAATTTGTTTTGTGATTTATTTGTGGTTGAATTCATACCAACATCACTTGTAAGAGTTAAATTGTTGTTATAGTAAAAGATAATAGAGATGATACGCAGTCTTTAAGAATAATAACACTCCACTGTGTGGATGAATTCTTTTTGAAATTAGTAGCCTATAGTGATGAAGAATATTTTTGCAATTTTTTGCTTCGTGGAATCTTTTTCAATTCATTGCTGAATTAATTCATGATCGTTTTTAATTTCATTCCATTCGATATTCATCAGGTTATAAGCATTCTAAACATAGTCAGATAGATATATTTCAATATGGAGATATTAGATTCCTAATTCTTTTACTAAGGTATGATGACATTTCAAAAATGCATCTCGAAATAAAGCGTAGTTTTTTTATTTATTAGACGACATATTTAATCATACGAATATATTCACTTATTATTGTTTATTTTTTTGACGTTGTTAGTATTACTTATATTTCATCACTGTCTAATCGGCGCCATTATTAACATCTTTCAGTGCTTTGCTGGTAGCGCCCGCTATCAATTCAGAGTTTTCTTTTAATTGACGTGTGTCTATAAAACGAGTTTGCATTATTCTTTGTAGAATTCAATAATTGGTCTAAACAGAATTATTCAACCAATTAAATCAATAGACGCTCTTTGTTAAGCCGATCAAATAATATCTTTTGTTTTAATTGTCCTCTAAATCATCAAATGTTATTGATTCTTGAACACCTACCCTTTGATGATTCTAAAATGTTAGCACTACAATTATGATATCCACTCGACCCAGCGAAAAATATTCATGAGAAAATCAAGATTATTTTTGATTATCGGGGTCCAAAATGCAATTTTTTGGACGCACATACCAGTTTTCGCCGAAAATCCAATATTTATTGATTAAAATCCATAAATTAGGTGAAAAAATAATCTATTTCACCGATTTTTCTTGATTATCACGCCCCTAACCCCATTTACATCGATAGTAGATCTTAACCTTTCTAATCAATTAAGATTCAAATTGATGAGAATCGGATTCAGGGAGTTTTCATTGATAGGTTGCGATTATCTTGATTGCAATGCAATTTTCATCAATAATTAATTTTAATCTGTTTAAACGACTGAAATGTGAATCAATAAAAATCTAATTAGTAGATTTTTTTTTGATTGAGTATGATTATCATCGACAATGGATTCTACTTTGTTCCATCGATGCAAGTCTCCATCAAAATAAAATCTGATTCAAGGATTGCCATTGAATTATCAACCAGTATTAAGATTGTAATTTGATTTCAACAGTTACTCGATTTTAACCTATTCTATCGCTTTGAATCTTAATAAAGAAAAACCAATTCTGCAATTTACATTTCATTATCGATGATTGTGAGGGTGATAATTTGTTTTTAATTGCTAATCAATTCTAAGCTCTTCGATCGAGTTTCATAATCTTGAAGAATATCAGTAAGGTTTATACAGAACCAGATGATTTCGATTAATACGAGGCATATGGAGCGGAATATTTATTGTTATTAATACGACAGTAGATAAAAGTGTCATGTAATGATTATTAGGACAACAGTTCCAGAACAAATACGACATATATGATCATGAACAATATTAGTGTCCTGTCCAAAGTATAATTTAGATTAAAAAAATTCGGCTAAAATTGCTCTTTATCAATAGCGCGTTTATCCGTAACATGAATCATGTTTTATCGATTCCAAAAAGTACTAATGAAGTGAAACTGACTGTCTTCGTAAATAGAAGGCATACATGAGATAAGCTACTTGTGAGGATTCGAATTACAAAAAGTATTTTACTTGTACAAAAGTATTACATAAAAAAAGGTCAAAATATGCATACAGTTGACTAAAATCGATTTCTAATGTCATTACACTATCTCGATTTGGAGCAATTTGTGCAGTAATTCCAAATTTACCACATTTGCTGGAGTTTATATTAATGACAACTTCATAGTTTGCGAACACCAGCAATCTAAAACACTCATGAAGAGTTTGGGTACCACGTTCGGATCTCGAGAAAAGCACATATCTTCGATGTGTATAATTAAAATCAATTACGAAATGATCATCAATTAAAATAAATTAATCCTTTGGTTACGAGGATTTTGAGAATAGGGGGAAAGTTTGTGTTTGCTCGTCAAAGTCGAGAATAAGGTATATATGCCCAATCGAATCAATGGATTGTATTAGGCTTTAACCAACGCAGTTTAATTCTGGAATAGCAAAATAGAGTAAAGTGACCTAAAGACTTATGAAATATTTTGTGTAACCCCATAAATAATCTTAAGACCCAATATTATAAAACATATTTTATAAAATTGAATCTCTGGTTTTTCTTAAAACTAGAGCTTTAGCAATAGTCACAATTCTTCAGGGTAACAATAGTTCTTGCATTCTGCGCAATTTCACGGACTTGTGTTTCATTTCACACGACTCTGAACGATTTTGAGTTTAGAAAACCTATGAATTCTTATAGATCTCTGAATTCACAATTCTTTGTTTTCAAATAATATGCATGCATAGGGATATCATATAATGATGCTGTGACATTAAAAGCATGGTGGAAAGAGAGAACACTTTACGGCCTAATAAAGACAGAAGATTTTAAAATCTATACTCAGCATAGACGCTCAGCCAGCGTATATGCGGATCCCGTAACGAAAGGGTTAACAGATAATACATATTGAAATAAATTAGTAGCTACTAAGAGATTGAAGCAGATTAACAGGTAACAACTCAATGAAAAATTCGGGCGCTTAAAATCGATTAAAACTTCAAGATTTTAAGTCGGATTATTGTACAACAAAATCAAGCTCATAATTGATTATAATTTGAATTTTGTCGCAAAAAAATCAGGTTGGTAGTTTTGAATATAATTGATTTTAATTTATTCTTACTACCCTTATTTTTAAAGATACTTATTGGGTTGCTCATGTTTAGAAACTATCAAGGTATTGCTAAGCTAAACTTTGACAACTGCTGTAAAGTTGGAACTGGGATACAGGCTCCGTGCGAGGATCCCATGATTGGGGGAGGGTTTTTTGAAAGCGAAAACTTTTTTCAGTCTTCTTAAAGAGTTCAACTTTTTCTGGCGAATTGTCAAGAAGAGAACTAATGTCCAATGTAAGAAGATTCCTCAATACTTTTGTCGCCGAAGATGACCCCACTGGCGACGGCTATTCTATATTAGACTGTTTCGAATGAAAAATTGTTGCAATAGCTCTTAGCAATTTCACCACTGAAGGTGACCATGCTAGTGAAGACTGTTCGAAAATGAAGCTCTTCAGAGTTTTCTAGCAAAAGCCATCGTTTGGGCCTGAGTGTGGAGTAAAAAAACTAGCTGATTTTTTCAACTTGCCACATAAGTTGATGCTTTCCATCGACGTCACAACGACAGTTTACGATAATTGGATAAGGATCATCTTCCGACTCCCTTGCCCTCTTAAGAAACTCCTAAGTGATATTTTCGAAAATCTCTCAAAGGAGTACTTTAAAAATTACAAAAAATTCATCGATTTTCTTAGCTGCCTATGAATAATTTTCAATTATTGGAGGAAGGGGGAGGGTGTCACCCTCCTATATTCCGTCCCGACTTTCTCGGGACCTATTGATATATAAAAGTGTTTCACATTGAGATGACGCAATTACATCAGAAATCGATTAACAATAAAGAAATTCGGTTAAAATTTAATTAAAATGTTTTTGTCGATTTTGATCAATTATACGCACATTTTTACTTTTCTATACACAGTACTTCGAGTATGCCAAAAAATGTGCATGATGTAGTCAAAAGATGAGATTAATGCACATGTAGTAAAAAATAATTGTGACTTCATTGAGAACATTTTTCAGAGAGAATTGGTTATTAAGAAAAATATGATTTTATCAAAAATAATCGATTAAAAATCTGTAATGAGATTCGGTGAAATGAGGGATTTCACAAAATTATCATTGATTATAGCAAAAACATGATTTAATCGAAAATAGTTGATTTTAATCAATTCAAAATAACTCAATCATATTTAACAATTATAATCAATTATGTAAAAAAATCTGACTAGAAATCATATAATTGATTATAATCGTTAAGACAGGATCACTTTCCCAACTAATTATGGAACTATTATTGATTTTAACCGAACTATTTTTGTAGAAAGTGAATTTGGATTGAAAAATTGACCTATTCAATCCATAATCGAAAACAATCGTGATTGCTCCACGAATATTTTAATAGATATGTATTTATCTTGATTTTGACACTTTTTTTAAGAAAAATAGCCGTTGATCAAGTGTAATGTATTGATAGCTATCGTCAATGACTTTTTAATACAGCTCGTATTTTTTATTTTTTATTTTTCTCTCTTTCCTCACATTCGAATACACTACTAGCCACATATCATTGGTTCTATTGTACCGCGTAGGTAGTTTTAGCTTGAAGCCCATGTGCAGCAATCATCGTTCTTTGCTTTCACTGAAGTTACTCTTTATTTTTTCTCGTCACATTTGAATGCACACGGTAGCAAACTTGTATCATTTTTTTCGTCATTGTAAGGTATCTGTATTATTGAATAGACGTGCAAATATTGTTTCTAATCAGTGGACTGTTCTATGACTTGCACATTTTCTATCATCTTTCAATGCACGCTCTTTTTACTGTTATCCGGTAGCGATTGCAAAGACAACGATCAATATGGACTCAAAATTTATGGCGAATATAAAACAACTCATATTCCTGATGCACAAGTAAGAAAACAGCATTAAGTTAAAAATGAAATAAATTTTAGTAACCTTTTTTCTTAGCATGCTTGCAAGTTATGGGTGTCAGTTGCACATTTTATTTCCAGAAATGTGGAATGAATAAAGTTCTAACATAAAAACAGAAGTAAAAATGTATAGAACTTTGTCATGCTGCAACATTACTGCAAATTGCAGTATCAGATGCATTCTCATTTCTTGGAACGGAA